CCTCCGTGCCTCCCAGCTCAATTTCTTTTCAGCCTCTAGACAGAGTCAAGTCTCCCGTGGAGGAAAATGCGTCCCTAGAATCCTGGAATAATTGTGGTTGGATGGGAACAAGGGAAGTCCAAACCTCTGCAGAAAGTTGCTAGTTTGGGCTTTTACTTCACAATGTTTAGAGTTTATACCAAATACTTTGTATTCCCGACCTGTCAGTGAGTTACTGCTCTCTGCTTATCGCATCTTATTCTTGCATTCAGGCGCATCCTGTTCGTTGCAGATAGAGACATATCCCTAAAGCAGAGGCTGTATGGAAGCAAATAAGGCAGGCAGGTTCCCTGCATACTTTCTCCTTCTCCGTTTTCTGTACCCTTTCTGCTGCATAATTGCAAATTGCCACATATGCTGAGACACCGTGTCAGAGGCAGTCAGACTCCAGCATTACAGTGTGCAGAGCTAAATGAGACAGTGTGGTTTCTCCAGACTGTCGTTCTGGCAGATTTTAAACTATGCTTTGCTGAGGGGACATAATGAGCAAATAGAGCAGAGGAGGGAGTGGGGGCACCCACATTCTTTGCTTTCAAGCAAGAGAAATGAATTGAACTTCATTTTCTTAAACCTCTGAGCTCTGTGCCTAGGGTGCTTGTCCAACAGCTGACGTTGGCTGTTAGTGCATTCCGGACATTTAGTGTGTATTTGCTGGCTTCCAAGGTATTGACATTGCTAACAGTAAGATTCTAACTGCCCCCGGAGGCCACGTGTGTTTATTCAAGGTATTTGCCTTCAGGTTCTTAGTCACAGATGTTCAGCAAAAGCCTCTGCTCTCTGACTGAGCAGGGAGGAAGGGCCGTGGTGAAGCAGGTGGGCATGGTTGGCGTCCTGCAGGAGTAGCCGCCGCAGGCTTGCAGCGATCCCTGCTGCTGCAGGCACAGGGTAGCACCGCCCTCTGAGAGCGAGTGCAGCCTCTCCTGGGAATATTTATGACAGGACGGAAACAAGGCTCTAGGGCAAGAACTGGGCAAGCTCTCATTTTCCACTGAGAACAAGCAGGGGCAGATCCGTGCTTGAGCGGTGCCGGATGCCTCACTGCAGTTGCGGCACAGAATGGGCCGCTCTGTGGACGGGCTGGGGCATGAGACGACTCTTCCTGAATCGCTGACTTGCCTGTGGGCAGAGACAGTGCTTGAATTTGGGGCTGGGGAGGGTCCCCCCAATTATGGGTTACCCAACTCTGCGGAACCCTGCGCTGGAGAGCAGCAGGCTGCTGCCCAGCCTTGTCTCTGGCTGTTTCCAGAGGACACAACGGAGGGCACAGCTCAGTACCTTCCTCTTCTTCAAAGAGCCACACTCTGAAAGCAGCGTCACCACACGCTGCTCGAGTCTGGATGTCATTTGCTGCGAGTCTTGCCAGATTCTCAGCAAACAGCAGTCTGGCTTCTAGTAAGCGCAGGCAAAGCTGAAGCTAGAGGAAGATCTTTTAACTGCTCGTTGCCTCGGAAAGTGTGTGCCAGCGTTTTAGCTCTTGGCTCGGATCTGCATCTAGATGTGGGGTTCTCCTCTTTCCATTCCGTCTCTTTAAATAGGCACAAACTTTTATCGAGTCTTTCTTCTTTGTCTGTTCTGCTTCCTCATCCTGCCTGTGACCTCTGAGTTTTGAGGTTGCCAGTAAAACCAAACTGGGGGGGTCAGTTCACTGTATTTTTGTTTTGGGTATAACCTCAGAACTCAGGCTTCTCTGTGGCACTTCTGCCCGGGCAGGAAAGGATGTGAAATCGGGCATTATGGCTGAGTTTTATAGCTGTGGTTCAAAACTGCAATGTGAATGAGAGGTCTCTTTGCAAATAAAATTGCTCACTTAAAGGCTTGATGATGGCAACACATCCAGTGGTAACTTAGATAGCATTTCCACTTGGCAGGTTTGGAGTGCTGCAAAGTGAGGCCTAGTGCATTGGCCTGCCATAGGGGTGCAGTGCAGCTGGTGCTAACAATTAAAATAGGCTCTAATAGAATTACATAACTTGACTTTAGCAGGTGTCCATGCTTCTAAAATAACTCAGTCTTGCTGCCCATTCTATTTTTGAATATCATTCAGTCTGCTTCCAT